TGTTATTTATCCATTTCTAAAAAAAGAAAAAAATCAAAACCGGTTTTTATTCAATTAAAAAAACATAATGGTTATTATTAAAATTATTTAAAAATTAAAAACATTAGTTCATTAGCACAACGTTTAATTTCCTTTATATTTGTAATATTCATATATGTAACATCACTTACGTGAGGTTATTGATTAATCTAATTTTTTTGTACTTTATTTTGATAGCATCAAAATTCATTGAGAAAATAAAATAATTTTATGAAAATTATGACTGATAATTTCAACTTAATAAAATTTTGATTTCATTAAATTTTTTTTTTTAAGCATTAGCATGTTTCTTTGAAAAAAAAAATTATATTTCTATTAGTATAAAATAAAGGAGTAACAATGTATAATTTTTCATATATTGCTATGTCACAAAAGTACATTTTCATTGTCTTCATATGTTTTTTATTGTAATAAAAGACAGCAAAGCTGAAATGCAAATTTACTCTAAAATTAAGCTTTAACACTTAATGACATTTTACAATAATTGGGTCTAATTGAAAAGACAGGTACACTCATGAATAGTACTAGTTACCTTGATTTTAAATTTATTTTTTTTAATTAACTTGGATGTCGGTTTGTCTGCTTATTTGATAATACTTCTGTGGTGGTGATACATTACAATATAAGAAACACTGATAAAATCTGGTATCATTTAAAGAACAGTGAAAAATTTTTTTAGATGGTCCTGACTTTTATTTGATTCAGTTTCTATGCATCTAGGAAACATACACTGTAGATAAAAATATTATTATTGCTTTGCTTAACTAAAACTATACTTATTTTTAAGTATAAAATAATCTAGCAAATCATATATATTAGTCTGTTTAGACTGTCGGCATTTCTCAGATTGTCAAATACAAGGAGTTTCAATGAACTGATATGTTTGACCTGTTGGGAAAGATTATTTTATGCTTAAAAATCCACTTGCTTACCAGTATTTACAGCATATACATTAATAAATGTTTATATTTTATTATTCTGTATAAATATTAAGCTTTTTAACACTACTTTAAAGTATTTTCTTATTAGTTTTAGATTTTATTATTTGTACATGTAAATTCAACTGTATTACCATTATTTTAGGGACATTGATGCATAGGGATTAATTTTTCTTTGAAATAATATTTAATTTTATGTGGTTTTTGTGTTATATATATAAATTTAGAGATGTAGAAATTTTGTCATTAAAATATTAATAGTGATAGAAAAATAGAAACCAAATTCCACAGAATTAGTTGATTTAACTCATTGATATACTAATAGTTAACTGGTTTATGGTAAAGGGATTCTTATAAAAATTCTTAGCAAATAAAAAAAATATACAACTTGGGATTTATAGCTTTTTTTAAAAATTAGATTATTAATTATCTTCAAGTTGTCATATGCATGCTACAAATAGGTATTTAGAAAAATATATATACTAATTTTCCTTGGAGTTGAGTTTTCATTTGATGTTTGTAATGTTTGGTGTTTATAATGTGCTTGTTTTCTTGAAATTAAGTCAAGGAACTTTACATCAGTCATCCTTGCACCCACTGGTGTCATTTTCATTTTTTTTTCCCCCTCTATTTTAGAGAATGATTTTTTGAAAGTGATTTTGAAAAATGATAAATATAAATGCATTGGGATGTTTCTAGGTAAATTAATTTTACATAATTTCATCTGCAAATATAAGTTATTGTATTTTTTAAATTTTTGTAAAAATAATTAGTATGTTTTATTGACAATGAATATTGTGGGAGGTTGAAATATTTTTATGTTTAGGATAAACTGAGTGTTAATTCACTTATGATTTTCTTTTTTGTAATAAATCTTCTCTGGTTAGCAATAAGATAACACAGTAAAAGAATATTCTGAGTATTAATCTTAAAATGTGATAAAGTTAATTTTGCCTTTTATTTTCAAAATTCATCAAAACTCATGCAAAATATTTTTCTGTCATAACTGTTAATGAACTGTTAAAATAGTATTACGTCACATACTTAATTTAAAAAAAAATGTCTTTATAAAACTTAGGTTTTTTTAAAGTTACTTAGGGAGATAACTATCGATTTGGTCATTGATTTAGTTGATATTTTAAATTTATATTGGAAAATAAATAAGATTTTCCTTTTGATATCACTATTGCTAAAATGGATGTGAAGACAGTGCAATAGTTATTGGTTCTGAAAGTGGAATTGGCAAGCTGGGTTCAAATTCCGGCTTAGTTTGCTGCATTCCATTTTACACAAATGTCCTTCTCCCCATTTCCCATTTATAGGTTAAATAGTAAAGTAGATTAGATGCTCTAAACTTGTGTAGTAGCCAGTTGAAAAGAAGGACTATTTTAAATTCAAAACTGTGGAGAAGGCAACAGGAAACCACTTAACTAACTTTCCCAATAAGTCATGGCAATTCACATAGATAATAAAAGAAAGGAATTTGTGAAGAGTCATGATTGTCTATGCCCTGAAGGGACATGACATTTAAAAAAAAATATCAAAAATGACTAAAGTCAATTAGAGGACCATGGAATATAAACAGTTTACTTATTGTATTTGTCAAATCATTAAGTGAATTGCACTTTTTGTTTTGAACAATTTGAAATTATAATACATGCATTATTGACAAACTGCAACTGTGTCTCTGTGTTGTGATTTTTTCCTGTTTCTGTTTTTCACCATCTTCATCTCATTTTCCATTTTATTTTGTTTTTTATTTTTTGCATGTAATTCACTCATTGTCACCACTGCTTTGTTTCTATCCCTTTGATGTGTCTGTGCGTGTGTCTGAGAAACAAATTTGCTATGATGAATTAGAATAGTTTCAGGGTGTGATTTAGTTTTAACCATTTTATAATAGCCTTTTAGTATGATCACTTAAACTATAAACTTCAAGTCATATAGTAAAAAATTTGCTACTGTTCACTTGTTAGCTCTATTTTTGAATAGCTAGATGACAGTAGAAGCTGTTAATTAATGCTGTCAGATTAAAAATAATTTGGATTAATTTAAAATTTATTTAGAACAAAATTTTTTTTAACTAAGAGCTGATATTTATCACACCTAATATATAATTATTTGTATACAATTAAGACTAAACTAGGAAATATTTCTTAAATTTAATGTCAGTTAAGTTTGTTACGCATTGAAGTTTTATGTTAAAATGACCCTTCTATAAAAACAGTATTCTTAATATTTAAAATAAAAATATATTTTTATCAATAGTATTTACTCATTTATACTGTAAAAATAGGCATTTAAAGCACTTAAATTATTGCATTTAAATTCTTATGAAGTGTGAATGTTGCTTCATTATAGTTTATGCTTATGAAACTAGACTAAGTTTTTAGCTGTATACACAGTTAAGCATGAATCTTGGGAGATTTTATTAAATAAATTTGCATAGGAATTGTAATTAACTCAAATCAACTGATTGTAATGATCAGGTCACCTTTTCTAATCTACTTACATTAGTAAACTGAGAAAAGTGACAAGGATGCATTTTGTCTTCTCTTCTATTGAAGCTGAGTCAAGCCATAATTCTACAAATTAAATAATAAACAATAATAACAAATTTATTGCTAAACTATAAGAAAGTAAATGTTCCATGCTTCTAAATGCTCTATGCAGATGGATTTTATCATGTACAAATCTGGTTAGGATAATTTAAAACTGCATGAGGGTTTAATAATATAATATACACATACCCACACACCCACACACACACACAGTGTATATGGGCAAGTGTTTTTCATTGATGCACATTTTATTAAAATCCAACAAAAGTTCTATTAAGGATTTGTTCATTAACATTTTCCTTTCTTTCAAGTTGTTTAATGTCAAGATTGAGGGTATATATGTTAAAATTCTGAACGCTTTCAACTTTTTCATAAACCATTGTCAAAAATAATATATTTTATTAAAAATTATTTTTCAATTTATTTTATGTATTATGTGGTAGTTTTTAATGTATCTTTTTTTATTATAATTATTGCATCTATTTAATTTTTGTTCCTTAAAATAAAAAGGGAGGCACACTACAAACTAACATGATGGTCTAATATTTGAAACTAATGTATAACATAATGCATAACATGAATTTTAAATTCACAATGCATTTGAATAAAACAAATATTACCTTTGACAATAACTTATAAAAGCTGAACATGCTTAGAATTTGGACAATAAATATATACAGCTTCAGTCCTGATATTAAACAACTCATCAGAAAGAAAAAGTTGATGAAAAAAAAAAAAATCATTAAAAAAAAAGCTTTTGTTTGTTTTCAATTGAACTTGTATCAATATACATACACACACAGTATATATTGGTTACTGATCATCCTAGATCTTATTAATGTAAAATTGTCCTGAAGTTTTTAATTTGTTGGTAATTGTTGTCTATTATGAACTTCCTTTGCCTTCTAATTCAGCCACAGTCATTATATTTACTAAGTCTTTTTGTTAAGTATTGATTACCTTTAATTGTATTCTATTCTTTGTATGCTGTATAAAATTATAAAGCTATTCTTCCAAATATTGTATCATCTTTTTCGTATTTCTTGTTTTGGGGATTATCTTTATTTATTTTAGAGTTTTTGTTTGCATTTAATTTTACCTTGTTATACATCTGACTGACCATACCATTTTTTGAAAAATCTGTTTACATCTATTGGGCTTTTCTTAAAAATTAAAACACTGAAATAAAAAGCATCTTATTCAATGTTTTTAGTTTTGCAGGAAAACTATTTTAGACTAAATGCAAAATAAATTATTAAATTAGAGTTAACAAAAATGAATTAAGTGTTCTAAATAAAAATAAATAAAAATTAACTGTTCATTAGTTTAAAAATATTTTTTCTCAGAAAATTATTTTTACTTCATTTTACCAGGTTGGCATCTCTGTTTAATTAACCCATGCTTACATTTCATTTCCTTTACAGTGCTTGTTCAGTGTTTGAGTTGTCCATATTTATTTCAGATCCTAATCTGCATCCAGGAACAATATTGTTATCCACTAATGGAGTTCCTTACACTTACCAGAATGGGATGGCAATTTTTCATGCTCCAGAAAGTGGTTATCCAATTCATCAACCACAGGTGAGAATTTTTTTTTTTTTTTTTTTTTGCTTTAATTTATTACTAAAAACAGCTTTTATTGTATTAGCTTTCTATTTTCATGTATTTTGAAATAATTTGAAAAATATTATGTTTATTTTGAATTTACATATTTCTTTGAATAGAAATTGAGTAAATTTTTAGAATAACCTTTTTATTCTCTTGTATCTTGTTTATTTGGTTATTAGTTATTAAATCTTAGATTGCCATGTTTGACAGAATTATACAAATCATGTTTTTAATTTTGTAATATAATTAAGTTATACAATATATAGTAATATTGAGATACAGTCTATTTTATTACAAGAGTGCTTAAAAATAATAAAAACCTACTTAAGAAACTTTTCACTTTTTTACTCAAAATTTTCTTTAATTATAAAACATTAGTTTCATTTTGCTTACAGCATAAATAATTTTAAAATATATTGTTGATATTTTAAGCAGTATTCTTTTCAGCTAATGCTTTTTTTTTCTGCTATGATGAATTTTTGAATAATATCAACAGTTGGTTAAATTTAAAATAAAAATAAACTACATAGGAAAAATTTTAGTATTTTAGGTAAGATTTATTTTTTGGTCAATTTGAAAATTTAGTTTTTATTTATGTTTTAAAATATATTGCTGTCATTTTCTTTATACATCTTGTCTCATGCCAGTAAATGAGAGAATTAAAAAGTTGCTTTAAGTAAATTTCAACTAAAATCCTATTAGTTGAAATTATTAATGGTTACATGTCAACTGGTTACTAATACATTTTCATTTTAATCAGTATTTAAAATTTCATTTGTTATGTATAATTAAGAAATTTTCTGAGGAGTCTTTTCCTGAAATATTTTTCAAGTCAGGAAAGTTTTTGATATTGCTAATATAGTTAGACTGGTCATTTGTTGAATTCAATATATTTTATATTAAAAGACTAAGTTACTAAAATTTTAATGAGTGTAAAAATGATACATATTTGGAACATAATATTTCAATGCAAATAATTATGCTTCTTACAATTAGATATTCATGAATTTGGAATCAGTTTCTTAAAATTATGGTTTTGAATTTACTGTTTACTACAATACAGTCCAATGTAATGTGTCTGGGAATTGTGCATTTTTATATTTTGTATAGCAAACGATTTTTTTTTCACTGTAAAATGAAAATCTTTGTTAAAAATATTTATAACTCAATTATTATTCTAATTTGTTAAAAATAACATTAGTTAAATTTAATCAAATTATTCAAAGCTGCATCAGTTGGATTGTCAATAACAAACAATCATGCAATAAAATGCAATGGTCTATAGTAATTATGTCAAAGATTTTTTTTATGCAAATTCAAAGTTTTCACAATAAAATTGGTATTAATCAACTGATGTTAGTAATATTTTTAGTATATACTCAGTATTTATATAAGCAATCTAGTGTCAGTTTTAGGTTATAAAATCTATCCTTATTTAAAATACTGGTACCTTGTTTTGGGGATGTAAGGTTTTATTGCAGTTTTCATGAACTTGGTATCATTAGAAAAATAAATAGAAATTTGATACAAGATCATTTGTACATGTTATAGAATAAGAAATATTAGAACTTGAAGCAGTTGTTGAAATGCATTATTGAAACTAAATAGCAGAATGTTAATGCTTGAATGGCCAAATGTAAAAATACATAGAAATTCAACTAATTATTAGATTCCAGTTAAACTTTATCATTTATTTCATTTGCGATTGCATTTATTTTTCAAGATTACTCTAATAAAATTTAGAAAATATATTTTCGTTAATATAACATTAACAATAATAATGAACAATGAAATTCTAAAAAATAATTTTAATAGATTTTTTTTTGTGAAGCATTATTTTAATATGTGAGAGTCCATAAGCATCAACCATGTTTATGCTCCTCTTTACACATTTTGCTCATTTACTAACTTGAAACCTGATTGAGAACAAATATCTTGTATTATTTCATATTTTTTTTTTACATGCTTTATAAAGAATGTACATTTCTATGCATAAAAAATGTATTTGTTTTTAATTAAGTATAGATCTAATGCCAGAAAACTTGTATGCTTAAACTAAACATAATATGTAAAGAAAATCTTAGTTTAGATATTTTGACATCCTATCAAGTGAGGAAATGTGATCAGATTTCATTATCTCCTATTTGTAAAATGACATAATCATCTAACAGGGCTACAATTTAATTTTGACACACTATCCATTTTGAGAAATCCTACTAAAGAAAAACGTGTACCCCTGACAAGAATCAAAGCTGTATTTCGATTTTCCATCAGAGGAACACTGATTTCTGTAACTGTTATGAAACATAAAATATATCATTAATTTAGCTCAGCTATATAACAGACCTAATTACATACCCTCCTTACTTAAGATTTGTTTGTTCTCTCTCTCTCTCTCTCTCATACACACACACACACACACACACACACTTTTTTATGCTATTGGCACAGCCTTCAACAATCAAGATAACCTGGTTGTCTCCTTTTCCAGGAGTCCCCATACATGGTACTGGTCACTCATATGCTATCTACTTATATTTTGTAAACCAGTGAACTCACCCACAGAATCACATGGGAAAATTTATTTATTTACTTTTTTTTTTTTTATACTCATGTGATTCTCTAACCAAATGTTTAATTGAAGTTTAATTTTAGCTCTCATTTGAAATTTAATTACTTTCTCTAAATTTGATCTTGTTTAAAAATTAATTTTGTTATCTATTTTATTTGACTGTGTCTCAGAATTTTAAACCAAAATTTATTTTTTATATGTAAAGATTAATAACATATCCTAAAATAAATATTGATTATTGCATTGTTTGATTCAGGATGGAAATGAATTTAAATTATTTCATATTTATAATGTAGAATATTAATATTTAAAGATTATTGGCTTCATGTGTTTTAATTTACAAAAAAAATTCTCTTTATAACAAAGTTTTGTATGAAATAATGACTTTGAATAATCAAATGATGAGAGGAGTAACCTATCAGGATAAATGAAAATTTGTGAAAGAAGGAAAATTATTCTCCCTCAAAATTTTTATTATAGTAGAGTAACCATATCTAAAATAGGTAATCACATCTTGACCTCGTTCCTATTCGTTTCATAGAATTAACTTCATAATTCTCCTTTATGGTCAAAAATTGTTATAACCACCTTTAAGTTTCATGTGCATATTTTTAAAATTTAAAAATTTCAGAAGACTAACAAAATAGATTAAATTTGGAATGTTTTGTTAGTAATATTGTTGAATTTTTTTGAAAAGAATCATCCATAATGCACAAGATATATTTTTGAAATTTATCATGGTTGACTAAATTCAAATGCTTTAAATCATTATTTGGTTTGTATTTGAAAATTGTTAAAAAGGAAAACTGATTATCTGTTAAATATAAACAAAAATTGTATATTTTCTATACCAGATGTTTGTTCTAAATTAGTTGTAGCATTTAAATTTAAAAAATATTTTTCAATAAAAACCATCTTGAAACTCATGGAGTAGTGATTTGTGCAAAATTTTCAGATGACTTCACCAACTCTCCTTTCATCTTCTGCAACAACTGATTGGGTAAGGGAAAGATTTGTTTGTGTAGTGAATTCTTTCTGTACTGAAAATAATAATCCTTAAAAATCCACATTTATTCCTTTACATAAAACTACCACCATTTATAGTTATAAATAGATGTTACATGGATGTTTGTTATAACAGCTTTGTTGTAATCTCATTAATAGATTATTGCAGTCACTAAATTTCTATAGTAATAGTATTTTTCATGTTTTTTTTTTTTATTACAAAGTTTAAGTTTCTATTAAATGAAGTATTTAAGCTATTAACCCCAGCTCTTTATATCCAATACTATTTGATTTACACTTCCATTCTAATTTAAAGATCTACTTTAGCTTGAGTGTTTCATTTTATATAAAAATTATATAAATATCTTATTGAATTAAAAAAAAAATCTGTGAAATGTAATTTTTAGAAGTAACTTATTTACTATTATTTAATTTCATAAATATTCTAAATTGAAAGTTTTTTTCAAATAGTACTGGAACTTTAATTTGTTATTGGATGCAAATAGATGCGTTGTTCCTTATTTCTATAATACTCTTGATTTTATTTATAATCTCTTATAAACTCAATTTACATTTTACTGTTTTTTATTAGTGTGTATTTTGCTTTTTATTAGATTGTTTATATAGTTTCTTTACATTGTTAGCTTAGTAAACGCATGTTTAAATATGATATAGTTATAAGTCCTACTGCACTGATTGTACAGGCTTGCAATATAACTTGGTTGATTATTGCCAAGAACAGATTTCTTATTTGCAAGAAAAATATTTAAAAATTGCCACTTGTAATTTTAAGTCTGATCAAATATCTCAATCAAAATTTTCATTTAATAATTTCATCTTGATGTATAACAGTTTACATTTTTCACTAACATAAATTTTTAAATTGTGGTATCACTACAAAATCTCATTTTCTATATTTTTTTTATTATATGTAATCATTCGAATTTAAAAAATAAATTGTGTGTGTGTATATATATATATATATATATATATATATATATATATATATATTAAAAGAATATTATATAAATTGAATAGAGATGGCAAAATTATTGAACTATTAAGAATTATCCAGATATATATTAAGCTTTTTAACCAGTATTGTTGGCAAAAATTAATGCAATTTTAAGTTACTTTTTTTTAATTGAGTAATCAGAAACAATAGCCAAATTCTTGTTTTTAATTGAATGGTTTGTATAGATGAATCAATTTTTGAATAATGCATGAATTAGTAGCTTAGTCAATATAAGTACTGCATTTAAATAAAATATAAAATATTATAATAGTTGTTAGGGAAAAATAGAGATAAATATAATGCTAAATCATATAATTTGTAAATAGTCCATATTGATAAATAAAAAGAAAGATAAAATTTGGATATATTTTAATACTTATGTGATAATCATAAAATTCTGATTGATTGCAACAGATTTTGTTGACATAAGTATGAAAAGTTTTAAAGCTTTAAGAGAGCTTTATAAATAATTTGGTATATAATGAATTTAATAGGCTTAAGGATTAAAAATTGGCTTATTGGTTAACATAGGACTGAGATTTTATAATTTATCAACTAAATAGAATTACATAAAAAGAGAATAATTTTCAGTACTACTTGAAGAGTGAATTTTGTTTTTAATCATGATCTTCATTAAATCCATAATAATATGCATGTTATATCCATCACTGAAAATTTCTTTTAATGTTTATGAGTTACTTCATTCACAAAAAAAATATTGACTTGAAAAATAAAACACTTGCTGATATGATAGTAAAGAATATATTGGTTAATATACAGTTTTTCACATTTTATTTTCAATTATTTAATCTATGGCTGATAATTTTACATTTGCAAATATTTCAGTAATGTATCTAATTACGAGCAAAATTCTTTTGATTTTGACATATATTTGAAAAGACTAAACACATTCATTGCTACAGAATGCTAATTAACATTTTCACTACTTCACCTGTTAATCACCAAACAATGTTAATTAATGACCCCTTTTTAAAATTTGTGGCTTGTCTTCATTTTATCCTCCACACACTGCTGTACCTAATACCTGCTTTCTAGCAATGCTATTTTGTCTCTGGGTGGAATTCTTGTTCTATTCTAAGTTTGCACACACCAGTGAAAAGGAAAAAAAATGTTGGTACTGAAGGTGTTTAAAAACTAATGACATTTTCTAACAGTATAAATATATAAAATAAATATTTGAATGTTGGGACAAACTGATTGAAGTACTGCTTGGATTTGATTGAGCTAATGGGCATGGATTTTTTAGGAAATAAAGAAAGAATAAAGAATTTTTATCATAGGAAGTTTTGGCTTTATCTTAGAACCCAGACTATGTGTAAAGAATTTTTTATGGATGGTGTGAAAGAATTCATGTATAACATACACTCCATAGATAAAAGTTGTCCTCAAAATTAATGATACTCATTTCTTTAGTTGTTGAAAATGCTTCTTGATGTCTCTTGATCATACCTATATATAAGTGGGTGCTGAGAGGTTCTCATTTCAACCAAGAAATTATTCCAGAAACTTGATATTTGGTCATATTTTGGGCAGAAAATCTTTCCGCATTCCTTTGTATTATGCATGCATGTATATATTTGTACTTGTTTTTGCTCTGTTAATTATTTAAAATAATTTATTATCAATTAGTATTTTATCATGTTCTGCTGAAACCTAGTAGTTATTTAAAAGTGGTTTGGGATTGATACAAATACCATTATAATCTGTTTTATTATTGATTAATTGTCACATATTCATTTTTGTTCTCAAGTTTTTCTTTGTTGATTAAAATTTTTAATATTAAATGAAGAAACATTTAAAAGTATATCTGAATCATTATTATTTATTTACCTAGAAATAATTAATCTGATGTAGATTTAGTACACATCTGCATAAGATTTTGATTACTTATTTGGAAGATTGTTTTGCATTAATCATATCTTTCTCTTGTGAATGCATTACAGAGTGTGATGGGTAAATTGTCACCATTTTTTATTTTTAATTTTGTGTATGTTTGTTTTTGATTTTGTTGACTGCACAGTATAGTAGGGTCAGTTGGACATCATGACACAATTCACTCTGCCAGAAATTTGGAAACTGCATGTTGTACTACTTGTTATTCACACTGGAAGCTCCAATACGAACATTTTAGAGTGCTTGGATGTCAATCTGAGGACAGGGCAGATGATTTGGAAAGAGTTGGATGAGTTTAATGGTGATTACGAAGGTACAGCAGCTCAGAAAAGTCACTCTGATTGTTCTGATCAGAGAACAATTCCAAAATTTATTGGTGAGGGCCTCAGATTCAACACAAAAGCTTACATCAAGTGCCTTGAGGAGGTAGTGATGCTCTGGGTTCAGAGAGTGGCTGCTGGAAGACCCTATGTCTAGCAACAGGATTCTGCACCATGCCACACAAGCAAGAGAACCCAGTTGTGACTTTCAGACAATTCCTGCAACCACATCACCCCTTATATCTGGCCACCTAACTCCCCAGACTGCAGCCCCCTTCATTATTATGAGTGAGAGACCAACAAAACTCCTTGTAACACCAAAGATGAATTGAAGGCAAGGATTATGGCAGCATTCACCAACTTAAACAAGGAGATCATCAAGAAGAGTTGCAAGAAATTCTGAAGTTGTCTGGAGGCCGCGGTTGAAGCCAATGGCGATTTTATCAAATAAGTTTACTCTTTAGTATTTCAAGATATTTTTGTGCAAATTTTGGTAAATATGTCTGTTAAAATGGGATGTCAGTGTTATTTTCATTTTTGTGTAATTTAGATGACAATTTATTCATCGCACTCTGTATTTTATAAGTATTTGTATAAATAAAATTCACGGCAATAGAGGTTTATTATTTTAATCTCTTAAATAGTACACCTGCATGTACAGTTTTTGTGTTATTTGGATTAAAGTTTATCTCTTATTTAATTTCCTGAATTTGTCAACTTTAATTGCTGTTATCTTACAGCCAGCCTACTCTGCTACTGCTGTAATGGTTTCTCAGCCACCACCTCCAGTCTATATGGCTCCAACATATCCAACATATCAACCGGTATTTAAAAAAATTTAATTTTGTGCTCTTTATGACAGATAACAATAAAATATGGTTTTATTTAAAATGATTTAATAGAATATAATTATATTACAATAACTCAATAAGCAAATGCTACTTTGTTTCCTTTGTAACCAAAAAGAAAAAAATATTAATGATACATATTATTCACATAATCAATTATTAATTGTAATTATAGCTTTATTTTTCTAAGTCATTTGTAGTTTGTTGAATTGTTTCTTTGAGACTGTTTCCTTTAAAAAACATATACACTTCTGTAATTGGATAAATTTTAGGCCTTTTTTAAAAAATGTTCCTTTAATTAGGGCACTCCACCACAATGGACTGCAACTACTCCAAGCCAGTGGCGTTGGGCAGCACAGGTAAGTGATAATTTAATATGTTAAAAAAAAAAATTATATCAATAATAAATAACCACATTGATTTTATATTAAGATGATGAATTAGTTATTTTGAAATTCAAACAAAATAAATCTGAAAAGATTTAATTATGTTTGTGTATCTGCAATATTTTAAATATCTTAATCATTCAGTGCTAGAAATTTGGTTGACTTATTAATGCTTAACATGAGGAAATATTTGATTTTATTTATAATAAAATACTCCACCAAAATTATTAATTTTTCTATACATTTGAAATGATATTCTTTGAAATTTTAAAACCTATTTTGTTTTTGTTTTTTTATTTAAAAAAAAAAAAATTCCCATGCATTCTTTCATGACATTGAAAAGAAATGTGAAATTTTGAAAAGAATATTTTGCAAATATAAATAATTTAAAAAATTACTTAGCATTATAAATAACTATATTTACATAGCTGGTCACTGAAATTGTCATTATTTTCAATCTTGATGTTTAAACTTTTTTTGATAGATATGTTTACATGTATACATTTTTAAGCAAGTTCATTTATCATATGTTTGAAATGTTGATATGAAGCATGAATAAATAGTATGAATTTATTTGAAATCTCTCTCATATATATATATATATATATATATATATATATATATATAAATATATAATATATTATATATATATATATATATATATATATTTAAAAAGACATTTTTATGTTTAACGTTGTTATTTCATAGATACAAGTATTTAAGCAAATGCTCTGTTTATGATAAACAGTATTAAATAACATTTACCGGCCTGAATGTCCGAGAAATTTTCATAGAAAATATTCGTTCATTGACAGGATTCGAACCTGCATCCTATACGGAACCGTCATTTACGCTTGACGTGCCTTACCTCTGGGCCACAATGAACCTTATGGTAGACAAGGTCGAATTTACTGTTTATAAACTACAATCTTCCATGAATCTCGTACATTCATAACTGCTCTGGGCGTATCGAATGTAAACAAATGACGTCATATGTTAAGAAATGGACAAGGTCCGACAATTTATTTATTAAAGACATTTTTTATTTTTAACGTTGTTATTTCATAGATACAAGTATTTAAGCAAATGCTCTGTTTATGATAAACAGTATTAAATAACATTTGTGAATGTCATTTTTCATAGAAAATATTTTCATTGACGTTGTTATTTCATTTCGATATTTCTTAACATATGACAAGTCATTTGTTTATAAACTTCGATAATCTTCCATGGCCTCAGATTCTTGTATCTATGAAAACAAATAACAAAATCAAACATAAAAATGTCTTTTAATAAATAAATTGTCGGACCTTGTCCATTTCTTTACAACATATGACGTCATTTGTTTACATTAACAACGTAAACAAAATGTCTTTAATAAATAAATTGTCGGAGCAGTTAACATATAGCGTCAATGTACGAGATTCATGGAAGATTGTAGTTTATAAACAGTAAATTCGACCTTGTCTACCATAAGGTTCATTGTGGCCCAGAGGTAAGGCACGTCAAAGCGTAAATGACGGTTCCGTATAGGATGCAGGTTCGAATCCTGTCAATGAACGAATATTTTCTATGAAAATTTCTTTACATTCATGCCGGTAAATGTTATTTAATACTGTTTATCATAAACAGAGCATTTGCTTAAATACTTGTATCTATGAAAAATAACAACGTTAAACATAAAAAATGTCTTTAATAAATAAATTGTCGGACCTTGTCCATTTCTTAACATATATATATATATATATATATATATATATATATATATATATATATATATATATATATATATACACACGCACACGTGTGTGTGTGGCAAAAGAGCATAATTATAACTTTGCCGTCAGTAAACCAGCTTAGTTTGCCAATTAAGTTAATAAAATACATTGTTCCACTATGTCAGTGTGTGTCATTGTTATTACCAGAATGTTTTTTAGTTTACCAGGTCTTCATTTATTAATATTTGCTGAATCTCAGTTCATTTTCTTTTTTTTTTTTTTTCTCTCTCTTTTCTAACTTTACTGACAGTTTGAATTGTGTCATCTTCATTTCTTTGCAAATTTCAGCCTTCTTGTTTTTGTTGGTTGGTTTTGCTTTTTAAAATTGCCAAGTTGGTTTTCATCAATTAAACCCTTGAAATATTGTTATAAATTTGCATTTATCAGTATTCCCACTGCTAGAATTGGCACTAATTGTTGTGGTGTTTAAGTTATGTTGCATGGAATTTAGATCTAGGTATAATTTAAAAATTTCTTTTAAGTAAATAAAAATAATTTATCTTGTTTCAGTTTATTTTTTTATTGAGACATAATCAATTCAATATAATTTGGGAGATAAACTTTTAATCAATGTTGGAAGTTTATTTAAATTGCTTTTATTGAAAATGAAATAAATAAGCAATGTGCCATAATACTTTGTAAATAATAGGAATAGTTGAACTGGACAACTTCTTGTGCAGTGGTATTTGAGGTTATCCTCAATCCATTTCTGAAATCCTTTTCAAATGCTTTTTAAGTAATATATTATTTTGGATAACTTAAAATTATGGTATTTAGAATACCATTGAAATTTGAAAAAAATATCAACTTATTTTTCAAGTGTACATAAAAGAAGTGATAAGTAATTAATATAATTTAGTTTTAAGCTTATATTGAGATGAATTATTGCAATATTCCAATTTATATGTAATTTCCTTAACATTTGATTCCCCACTCCATTATTTTATCTCCAGCTTTGATTTTCCGTTACCATTCCTAAGTTTTTATATATCTTTTTTATTTGTTTTATTTTAAATATCTATACTAAATTTCATTTTTATCCTGACAATTAAACTTAGTTCCAAACTTATTGGTTTGCACTCTTGGTCTGAGCATCAAAGATAAAATCAATGTGAGCCAAATATTGTGTGATGAATGAATGTATGTGTGATGTTTTACAGAATCCTGCAGGCCAAAGTGTAGCTGCCGCAGCTGCCACTGCTGCCACTGCTGCCACAGCCCCTGGTTATGTGTTTGCTGCCATCCCTCCGTCCCCGGATCTGATGTATGCTCAGCCTCCGCCACAGGCAACGTTCCAGCACACTGACATTACAGAGGCCACAACTGTGCTTGAAGCACCTCCTATCGAGGTAATACAAGCTCCTTTTACCATGTGATAAACCTGCAATCAGAGGGGCAAGCTAACCAATGCTGGGTTTGCTCATTACTGGACTTATTTCATGCCAACTGCACCATTCCAGTGTGGCACAACTAGTTTAGTTGAACTAATTTCTTATGTATTCAATATTCAAAGTAAGAATTGGGTAGATGTTGTCTCTTGTTCATTGATCCTGTTCATACTGATTTTGAATAATATTTTTTGTGACCCAGGGAATTTTAGTTACTGAACCAAAATATTGGCTAACTAGTATAGTGATGGTGGTGATGACTATTTTTTGAAAACATTGTAGGCCAATTTCAATTAGACTTACAGTGGGTTTTTTTGCCAAAGGAAATATGTATATCAGAATACATTAATAAAAAAAATTATTAAATCTTATGCTAGTCTGTTTGCATCTCCAAATTTATTATGACAAATTAAATATGATAAAAGTCTTTATAAAAAACAATTGTATAAATTTTTATGGAATACTTAAAAATCACAATGTCTAAAAATTTTATGGAGTAATGGCTCTTGCAATTTGTTAGATTGTGGTTTTATTATTCCAACTTGTTAACTTGAGTAAAAACAAGAAGAAAAGAGTAAGTCTTACTTAATATTCAGGCCTGTATTATTTTGTGTATGTGTGAGTATACATGTGAACACACAAACACAAAGCTTTGCAAAAGTCATATAAAGTAATTTGATTCATGTTACTGTTATATTTTAATCATAGTTATTAAATTTAAAATTTTAAGGCTTCGATATTGCTGGTGAATATATAATCATTCAATCTTTTCTGGTTAACATGTTTAAGAAAATGGGAAGTCAAGATTCTTGAATTTGTTTTCTCTTATTGATGTGTGATTTATGAATATAAATATCTCCTCAATATTTATTTCAACTATGAAAGGCAGTAACATCCATATAGAATTTACTTTAATAAGTTAAACAGTTAATTTTCATAAGGTTTTCTATGAATAAGGAACAAATAATAATAATAATAATAAAAGTTTTAAAAGTAAATGATGAAACAAAGCAATTATTACAGGAAAACTATATTTACTTATCCTGGTCACTTTCACTGTTTTATTGTGTATACTGTCATGAGTAGTAACTTGATACCGGTCATATTTACTTAAAAAATCTGGTTTTGCTTTACAATAAAAGAAAAATAATGGGTAAAAATATTTAATAATTAAAAAAAATTAATGTGTCACATTTTCCAGCAGAGATACTGATAAATAATCTCTATTAACACTCAGTTGAATCTAACAATTTTGTTGCATTTTCATTTGAAGGCTTGATATCTTTGTTTGTTTTTTTTTTTTATCCTTCCATTTATATGCTTTATTCAAAACACTTGTTAAACTGGCTTAAAACAAAAAAGTTTAAAAAAAAAAGAAAAAAAAGAAGGAAAATTAGTGATAGTTTCCATTTTAAATTATCATATAATGTAATTAAATAAACACAGCATAATAATTCAGTTAATTAAGATTGTTCTCATTGACAAATGTAGTCTTAATTGCTAAAATTTCACAAGTGTACAATGTAAACATCACATTCAAAATTTAATATATATGACAAATCTTTTAATAATGCTGATTTGTATGATGAGTGATAGAAAGTATATAGCTTTAATGTGCAAACATTTAATAAAATATTTACTGTAACTATATTTTATTAATAATATAATATGAAGCTTGTTCCGAAAGTAATGCATCCCATTTATTTCTATGGAAACTACAACTGATACAGGGGGCAAAATAACACTAGTTGATAGTTATCAGCTACAAAAAAGATTCTCATAGTTACTACCATTGGCTATGCATTTTTATAGTACTCTTCCTTTTTTTGTTAGCAGTTGTACAGGGCTGCCCAGAACGTGGCTTGTCACACACCTTAGTGTTACCACTCTTGAAACACATTACCCACATTCTAATTGTGCTTGAATTCACCATTTTGTCTTCATAGATGTTCAGTAAGAATTAATGAGGGTCAGTAGGTAGTTTTTTCTGCATAGTGGAATTCAATCATATATTTTAGTTTTTGTAGTTACTTTTATATCAGATGCCATTTTGCAAGACTACAACTGGTCAAGTGCTATTTGTAACAAGGCAAAAGAAAGAGGAAAAAAAGAAAAGGTTATTAGGAAATTTCAATCTCTACTGCCATACTATCAACATCTGTCTCTGATGACATTACTTTTGGAACAATCCTTGTATTTTGGTATCAAGTTTCATTCTTATCTCAGTAACCATAAGATCTATATACTTTTCTTTTTTTTATTTTTTGCGGAATATTTGAATTTTATATTATAGTTCCAAAGAAGATAACCCTAGGTTTGATTGCATAGTTTTTCAAGTAAAAGCTGAAGAATCATATTTTAAACAAATCAAATATATGTTAATAACATCTTAAATGTTGTTGTTATTAGATGAAGAGTTATCTATCATTAAAATATATATACAATTGAAATATATATATCAGAGTTGCTGCTTTTATTTTAGAACAGCATTTTTTTAAATTTTTTTTTTTAGAAGGGAGATAAATATTAAAATGGCGATTTTGTAATATAACAAAGGTGGAGAAATTTTACCAAATTAATATCAGGCTTATATAATTTTACATTTAGATTAATTATTATGAGCAAGGATTAAGATAGTTTCTAACTTAGAAGAAACTAAGATATGTAGTCATGTATTTTTTTAAAAAGGTCTTAAATTAAATATTAAGAGATACTGTAAAATTGGAAATAATAGGTAAATGAATGCTATTTAATTTCTTAATCGTATTGTCTGTGAGAATGGTTATATTTTGATCAATATTGCTTCCTCTAAAACCATGTACATCTGTTAAAAGTTAGTTTCTATATCGAAAAACCCACACTTTCATTTTATATCAAGTTGTGTTCAACAAATGATTTACCTTTATATATTTTATTTATAATTGCTTCAGCGAAATTTTGCTCACATTTTTAATTATATTGAAATATTTGGTTAGATTTTATAATCAAATTATGAGAATAGAGCTGGAATTAATTATAGCCCTTAAAGTTACTTTTTTAATATATATATATATATATATATATATATATATATATATATATAAAACTTTGTTTTACATGATTATATAATTTATACAACATACATATTGCACAGTTGCTGGAAAAATTGATTTTGTCAATTTAGACTTATTTCAGATTTTTCTGTTGAAGTTTGATTTTCATAGAAATCATATTTTGTAGTTCATAGCAGTGGTCATCTGTTTTGAATCTGTTCTAATAAAATAAACCCCCCCTCAATTTGTCCATGGGCAACATTAACTAATCTCAACTTCCTTTGCTAATGTTTTCCAGTAATATAATTTATTTTTTATTTTAATAAGTCTAAGCCTGAAAGTGCATGGTATCACTTGCTCCAGTATATTAATATTTTCCTCAAAAGCTGCTTGCCAATCTAAAGTTTTATTATGCACTAAGAAATTGAAGGTGCCAAAATACATTTCAGTACTTTTTGCACTAATAACTGTTACAGGCAACCCACTCATTAATGTATGTCTGATTTTTCTTTCTCTCATTCTATCGATATATATGTATGTATGTGTGCATGTATGTTTAAATATGTGCACACACACAAAGTACTTTCATACGTCAGTGCACATTTTAATATTTCTCTGGAATTTATTACTGCACATTTTAATATTTTTATGGACCTTATTTGTGTTGTCACTTTTGTTGTTACTACTACTACTGCTGCTGCTGTTACTGGCATACAGATGCACATGCTAATTTATCCTAAATATATAAAGTGTTATTGAATATTATAATTGTTGATGAATGGGTGCCATCTGAAATAACATTTTAGGTATTGCAGAAGATTGTTGATCTTATTTTTGTGGGACTCAAATCTACCATAAGCTAATATTTGGTTACTATATATTTCTGTATATATTGCTTATATTTTATATTTCATATACAACTTAATTTGTGAATCACTGAATAAGTGACAACAATATATTTTTGTTATCGTTTGTGGTTTTCATATTTTCTATTTTTGGTTCAGCAGTATGAAAAGATAATTTTATGTTTTAAGAGCCACCTATATTTTTATATTTTTGAAAACTCCATTTAAGTCATGTAAATATTTGAATTTCATGTTTTACAAAGAAAAGAAAAAGCAACTCCATTTAAACAAAAAAAAAACAAAACAAAAAACAGAATAGCATGTTTATATATAATAAGAGAAATGTACATATTGTTTATTTAAAGCATGAAAACTTATTTGATCAAAATGGTATTCTTGTTTGAATGGGTTAATTGTATCAATTCAGAGCTCATTTTATTAGTTTTTGAGAATATAAAACAATCTTCATCCTTGTTCTTTAATTTGAATTCGTACAAATCAGTTTATAAATTTACATAATTTAAGTCACTCATTTCTATTTTTGATATGTAAACAAAAGATAATTTTATATAAAAAACTAAAATTAAATAATTACCCCTTGTGAGTTCATAATGAATTCTTGTGATGTTTCCATAATATACTTTGGGGAACATATAATTAAAAGTAAAAGATCAAAGAAAATTTAAAAATAAAATAAAAGATGAATGACTATAAATCACCAGAAATTTCTTAGTCACAATCTTCTTTGGCTAAATCATAAACACAGCCTGTTTTTACCTGTTGTGAAAAGTTATGAATGCTGTAGTATAAAATCATGTTCACAGTGGTTTGCAAACCTGTCAGATGTCGGTAGATAAGGTTTGTATTCTGATATTACTGTAACCAATAATTTACTAATATTCAATTTTCACAAAAGGTCATTCAATTTCTTATTTTAGTCTGACTTAAAAGTGCAAAATTGAATACTTTGAATAAATAATAAATTAAATTTATATTACATTAAAAAGATTGTATAATTACTTTATTCAGTCTCAACTGACATGAAACAAAATTAGTCATTAAAATATCTGATAGCACTTTACTATTGATTGATTTGTGAATATATATGAATATTTATGAACTGATGAAAAATTTGTGAATTATTTATTTATATCTATTTAGACTTGAGCTACAAAGAATATAGTGAAAATATATTTTTCTTTTATGTGGAAAAGACAATAAGGAGTGTCACTAAGGATTATAAAAAAACAAAAAACTTCCAATTTTTTCATTCGCCTTTATTTGTGATTAAAACTGAATATATCCTTGCCACTAGTTATAAACTCATTAACTGCTTGTCTACTATCAGTTGTAATTAAAGCCAATATAAAAAATTACTATCCAATGTTAAAGATCCTAGCTTTAATTTTGAATTCAGAGTATTCTTTTATTTCGGTTTCTAATAATCCAACTTAAATGAATTTCAACTAGCCAGTACAGGGAATTTAACACATTGTACTGAATGTTTTGTCAACCAAAATGCATTTAATTTGGATGGGGTGTCACTTACCAATCTGTGTAATATGGTTCATTCTTGTCAGATGGTCTTCATAGTAACAGTTACACCTTTAAAATGAAGTAAATGTGCATTTATTTCTGAATTTTCTTCTAGATATATTAAAACAAACTTGTATAATTCCTAAGCATGTTACGAATACAGAAATAGTTTATGTATACAAGATATTAACTATGTTCATTTTTATGATAATTGTAAGATTAGACATTTCAATCATTGTTGGAAGATTTTGGTATTTTATCTTATTACAATGTTTAACTTTCTGATATTTCTTGATTGTTTTTTGTTGCTATCCGTTCATTTCAAAAATAATTATTGAAATGCATTAAACTAAATTGTAAACTAATTTGTAATGATTATCAATTTTAATTGGAAAAAAATTAAATGATTGAAAGGGTTTAAAACAAAAAATTCAGAAAGTATTTTCATGGTTAATGTTTCAGTGAGTAACTGATTGGTTTTCTATTTTGTAGCTTTCTAAGGACAATAAACTCAGTAATTTTAGAGCTTTATTTTAATGTAAAATATTACTTTCTATAATCTGGTAATTTTATTTCAACATGTATTAAAAGTTAATTTTAATTACAATTGTAATTTTTTTTCCAATTTAGTTTAAATAATTTGTTACTAACCAAATAGACAAGTTTTTATTTAGCTTATTAACTAAAACGATAAAATATAAATAATTTTAATGGTTTTATAGTTATAGATTTGTTGAACTTAGCATCATCACCATCACGATTAGATTATATTTGTATCTTATTTTGGAAAAGAATTGTAATTCTTAATGTTATTTCAAATGAAAAATAATCAAATATGAAAGGTATATGCTAAACATCATGCCCTAAGAATTTCATATTACAAGTGAACTGTTTGGATATACTGTGGCTATTTATTAAAGTGTAAACACTGTTGATAAATTCTGGAAATAGGATAAACCATAAGAATAGAATTTGTCCTGTTGACTTATAAATTTATTCCTGATAGAATTGATTTTTGTTTTAGTTTTTCTATTGTTGTATTCTAATAGAATTGTTTCATACTAAATAAATATGAGTGCATACAAACATAATTTATATGAATCTAAATATAAATTTGTATGAAATAAATCATTTGTATATTTAGAAAATATATGTATAAAGGGTTTTATATATTGATAATTTGCATAAGCTTAAGGATTTTCTAAATCCAGATGTATGTACATTTTTGTCTTGGAAAATTTAAACTTTATAGACACAATTGTCTACAAAAACACTCACATGTCTTAAATTATTTAAGCTTATTTAATATTTTAAGTGCTCATGAGTACTCATAATTTATCTCAATTGCTTTTTTTAAAGATTAAATTGTTGTTCCATTATTTATTTATTTATTTATTAATTAATTATTAATTTCCTTAAAAGAATATTAGTGCTCCATCTCATTATCTTTTAAAAAGAAAAAAGAAAAAAGAAAAAAAAAGGAATGTTTAAAAGATTATGTTTAACTCATGACAATATGGTAGATTTGAGTCTTGCTTTGTTGACTGCAAGCATGCTTGTTTTGTTTGTGTGCTTTGACTAGGAATGTGCATTGTTTCAGGGCACAGTGGCGGCAGTTGCCAAGGAGACGTTGCCCTGCAGCAGTGGTGGCGGAGGTAGCATCCACCACATGTATGTTACTGATCTTCCTAGCACTAGTGAGCAGCAACCTCAGCGCCCTCTTCCTTCTCTTCCTCCGGTGACAGCTACAGCAACCCCAGTGTACACGGTACACACATCTCCACAACTGAAAACACAATTGCCACCACCTCCTTCTTCCTTACCACTGTCCATTAAGACTACAACTTATCGCAAAGCAGTGGCAAGTGCTCCTCCTCGACGCTCCTATAGCAGTCCAACTCTCTTGGTTAAACATGGCCACAAAGTCCAGCGGCTAATGGCTAAATCATCTGCTGGTCCAATTCGCACTATTTTGCAAAAGTCCGACACTGATGCAACTGTTGAAGGGGCACTAACACACACCCAACTAACTTCTGCTCCAGTTATGAATAAGACAAAAACATCACAAATAGTGAGCGCTTATGAAGCATTTTAACATCTTAAAATGGTCAATGAACTTGGCTAAACTTAACATAATTGAAATTTGTTTAACAAAAAAAAAAAAAAAAAAAAAAAAAAAAAAAAAGACATTAATTTGTGTAATTTCTCACTAAAATGTGATTAGTTGTAAAACTAGTTGACATATTTTAGGAGCAATCTTTATTCTATAATAATTCATATGTAATTGTTTAAATCTTATCAAAGTATGTTAGCCCTTCCTCTTGCAATATCAGTTAAAGGAAAGGAAAAGAGATCAAAGCACTTCAGTATTTTATACTTCATTTCACACTTAGTTCTTCTCTCTTCCTTTCCTTATTTCATGTCATTTTTTGTTTATTTTGGTGTTTTCTTTTCATGGATTATTACTTATTACTGATGAAAACAAACCAATGTGTGATGCAACATGACCATATCACTCAACTAAACTTATCAAACTAAAAATTTTCCTGTTGCAAAATAATTTATTTGAAGCTATTTATTTTCCTTATTTATTTTTTTTATTTAAGTGTTATTTATTTCTGTATTTATATTGCTTATTCAGCAAAAACCTGTTTATAAATAGAATGTTGAATATAGTTAGGTTTTAAATATATAAAATATCTTCCAAATCAATTTAAGTCTCATGTATGCAAGGAATTGCAAAACTTTTTTTCTTTTTAAATGCAAACAAAACCCATTCTTATTGACAGAAAATGATATTTTCAAGTCATATTACTTTAACTTAAATCATTTTGCTTAATTGAATGCAATTCTTAAAAATGCACATTTTGAAATATATAAAACAATATAAATTAGGAATTTTACCAAATTATTTTTTTAATAGGTGCTTTGCATATAAGTTAGATGAGTATTCTGTTGTTGGGACATGTTTAGATTTATAATGATAAATAGGAGTGTCATTAAATACTGATTTTTATTTCAACCCCTTTTGGTATTGCACTGTTAGAGATCCTAACCTAGAAAGCGATCATCTGGATTGATAAGCAAATACACATTTCTACGGGTATCCACTGATTGTCATAGTATTTAGATCCACCAGCCCAGTCTTTATTCAAGACTGGATGAAACTATTTAAAAAGACAAAATTATTATTTCATAAGTCTATCTCTAGCTGGACTGGGAGGTGTTAAATCTCATTTTTCTTGTTTTTCCCCTGTTTTCTCTTTGAAATCATTTGATTATATTTTTTCTCTCATTTTTCCCTTCCTTTTGTTCAAAATTTCATCTGAATCTTTCTAGCCTTAATTTAAGTGCTTTGTTATCTTTTGCTTCATTCTGTTTACTTATTTATAAAATTTTCATATCCACTGACTTTTTTCTATCTTAATTTGTCTTTGGGTTTTAATTTCAACGGGTACAGATAAATATAAAATAATCAATTCCTGCATTATTTAAATATAACAAAAATCAAATCCTCTTATTTAATCCTACTAACAATTGCATGCTCTGCGTGACTCTTCTTGTGTTGTCCAATCTTTCTTTCATCTTCCCTTTTATTTTTTGTTTAGATGCGTCACTGATCTCATGCTTGCTGTAGTCATAGAACCCTGTACCATCAATAGTTTTGACCACGTTTATCATCTCTACTGCATCCAGCTGGAAAAATGTGTTCACAACAGGAAAAAAAAAAAAAAAATTAATAAATAAAATTGTCAGGTATATGGTTGTGAATTAAAATAAATGTAACAGTGCCAACTATTTATTCCTTCGAAAGATAAACGAGACAGAGCGGGTGTATATTTAAATGTTGATATCATTATGTCACGCTTACCTTTTGATGTATTTTGCAAGTTTTGCAGATAATATATAAACACCTGATAAAATATGTTTTTATATTGTAAATCTATTTGGAAGGGAAATGCTAAATCTCATTTTTAAGAAACTGGAATCTGAAGGGGGAAAAATCTGGCCGTAATATTTTGCTATGTGTATTTTCTATATGTTGTGCATATCTTAGACTTATTTATAAAAAGATGATTTTGTGTATAAGAGCTGTTTATTCTGTTCAAAGATCCTGTTGATTTTTTGTTTATGTCCATAATTTTTGTTTTCATCCATTTCTTGGGCATTCATTAGCTCCTCATGGACAAATCCACATTTTTCATATTTTTACTTGATTCATTAATGTATACTTTGATTTTTATATTGATTTTAATAGAAGATATCATTCTTGTCTATCTTTTTTTTTTTTTTTTTTTTTTAAACACTTCAAACAATTATCATGGTCAGTTTTGCAAACAAGAAAAATGTCTGAAACCTGTCTATTGATATCAATAAATGTCTTATTCTGTGTTCAGAGGAATATGTGTAATTCTTGGCCTCTAAATAAAGTGTCTTAGTGCAGTAGATCAAACCGTGTCACTTTGATTTTTCAATTTTCTTCCATTTTGCATTCTCTTAGCATATATGTTTTTAAATGTTTTTTTTCAGAAATATTGATGCAAGTTTTAAAACCTTTAGTGGGCTACTTTTATTGAAATGAAAATGTGGTACAACTTCAAATTTTCCAGTCATGGATCAAGCAGGAGCTGATAAGGTTAAAATAGCCAAAGCAGGTTCAGATTTCATTCTGAGTCAACATTCTGAATTTCTCCAACTTGAAAACCTCACAACATAGCATGAGAGAAATTTTTGAAACAGAGGAAAACCTGGTATCCAAATTCAGATTTGTCAAGTTCTAATTTTTATTATTTGTTGTTATTTCTGGTGCCTAACACCATTTGCCTGGATACTAAAATAAACAAATAAAAACATGCTGAACCAAGAAAGTAGTACACACATTATATATATATATATATATATATATATATATATATATATATATATATATATATGCTAATATTAGGATAAGATGACTTGAAGAAAAGCTGTGGCACTACGAGGTATTTATACATTTTTGTCATTTTGAGATTAACTTGACTTTTCCTTTTTTTAGGTAAGTATGGCCTGTGTAGTTAATACACTAAAAAATATAGTTCTTGAAAATTTGTTATTTTAACGAGGGTCATTCAAAAGTTCTAAACTTCACCCAGAAGGAGTTGGAGAAACGAGAGTTTTTCACTTTTTTTCAATATAGTCACCCTTGACGTCGATGCACTTGGTCCAATGATGTATAAGCATTGCAATCCCATCATGGAAGAAGGTTGCATCCTGGTCTTTGAAGAACTCCTCCACAGAACATATAGTCTCATCGTTGTTTCCAAAATGGTGACTACACAGGTGGGATTTGAGTTCTGGAAACAGGAAGAAGTAAGATGGTGCTAAGTGTGTAAGGGAGTGGAGTAGCAATTCAAATCCACAGTTGGCTGCTTCAGCTACTGTAAACATGTGTGTTATCCTGGAGCAAAAACACACCTGTCCTCAGTTATCTTAATTTTGATGCATAGTACTGTCCCTTTTTTCCACTTTTTTTCAGGTAGTCTATCATGATTATGCCTTCAGAACCACAAAAAAAAAAAAAAAAAAAAAAAACCAGAAGCCATCACCTTGTCAATAGATGCTGCCACCTTGAACTTATTCAGTGGGTGGAGAACCAGAATGTTTCTACTACTTGCTTTGAATCTTTTAATTCAGGTTTCAAGTGGCGAATCCAGGTTTCATCTTGAGTTACAGTGGTAATTCTCAGGATCAAACTGGAAGTGAGTCAGAAGTTTCCTGGAAATGTTAACCCATTTCAGCTTCTGCTCTGGTGTCAGCATTCTTGTGAACCATGTTGCTCATCCCCTAGATCTCAGTTAAAACAGTATGGACCAAACCAGAACTATGAACTTAGCTGCTGGGCAGTGAGGTGCCGGTCATCCAAAACCATGTGGTGAATGGCATTAACTTGTTCATCAGTGGTAGAGGATTTTGGATGAACTGACTGAGGGTTATCTATGCAGTTCCTCCCTGCTTGAATTCCACAGCCCACTTCACAGTTGTATAGGAAGGGGTGTCCAAAGCAAGTGCCTTGTACCATGTCCTCATTGATTTTCTTGGGTGTCATACCTTTCTTTTCCAGTTAATTTATGACTGCCCAAGCCTCTGTTTTGCCCATTTTTAGATTTGTTGCACATCTCCCACATTTGTATGGGCCTCAGCTGCACGGAAATTAAGACAGAAATTTGAATTAGTTTCTTCTAGTTTTATAAGATGTAGTATTTGCTACAATAAAAATGTTCAGCTATACCTCTTCTTTCTTGGTGAGGCTTAGAACTTTTTGAATGGCCCTTGTGTATGTTTGTGTGTGTATATATATATATATATATATATATATATATATATATATATATATATATATATATGGCCCTTGACATGCTGATGCATAGAGATGTCCTAATCATTATACAGGCTGACAAAGGTGGTGCCACAGTGATCTGGGGAATCAAAGAATACCATAAAGAGGCCAACAATCAGCTAGCTGGCAAAAACAGACCCTCTCCCTAATAACAAAAAAAAAAAAAAAAAAAAAAAAAATTGACAAGGAAACATGTCCATCACTTACACATGCCCGCTTCTATCTCCTTCCCAAAATTCACAAAAACAACAACCCAGGAAGGCTGGTCATTTCATCATTTAACTGCCATATGATCAAAATACCCAAATATGTAGACCATTACATACGGCCCCTAGCTAAGGAAGTAAAATCCTACATCAGAGACACAACAGAGTTACTAAACAGAATTAATCGTATACAAATAGTGCTAGAAAATGCTACTCTAGTAACTATGGACACAAGATCACTTTATTCAAACATAAAATACATCAGAGGACTAACTACTTTAAAGAAGCACTTACTAAAAGAGAAAAACGACCACCCTACAGAATTTATCATAAAACTTATGGAACATATTCTTACATTGAATACTTTCAATTTCAATGGAAAACACTACCTACAAGTAAGAGGATATGCCATGGGAAAATTTGAGGAGACCCATATTTATCCCTTCATTGGTAATGACTGCATATTCTATTATGATATCTTCTTCATACACACCGGCAGTAAGGAGAAACTCACTGAATTCCTTATGACCCTAAACATGGTACATGACTCCATTAAGTTCGACCATGAAAAATCAACAAGATCGGTAACATTTTTAGACACCCGCATTTACATTGATAAAAACAAAACTACACACTAAAATCACTGACACCAAGACAGTTTACACTTTAAGTCTTCTCATCCTAAACACCTTAAGTAAATCTTCCCTATTGACTTAAACTCAGAAGGATATGTTCCCACAATGAAGAACTAAATAAACACACTCAAAAATCTCGAGCATCAATTCACAACACGTGGCTATAAACAACACCTAATCTGGGAACAGATAAATAAAGCAATTTCCACACCTAGAGAAGACATCCTAATGTATAAAATTAAAAATAAATCCAGATGCATCCCTCTAGTAACCACTTTCAACACCACTATTCCTCTACTATCTCAGATAATCAAAAGTTGCTGGGAAATACTACATCTCAAACCAGACCTAAAACTTTGAGGAATCCGGCCTTCTAGCATATCGTAGACCTAAGAACCTTAAGGAAATTATAGGTAGTAACCACATTTCAGAGGATAAGGTAATCCGTAATAGATCAAAAATAAAAACAACAGGATTTTCCCAACCATACAACAACAAAAGGATGTTATGTTGTAATCACATTAGACACACCAACTTGTTCACTAGCTCAATCACTAAATCTGCTTTCAAAATCTACCAAAACTTTAACTGTAGAAGTCATAATATAATTTACCTAAGAGAATACACATTATGCCAGAAACAATATGTGGGAAAGTCTGAATGGCCCCTTCACTACAGAATTAATAATTATCGTAATCACATCAAGTCTGCTTCCTATGAAAGATTATTACCTGTAGGACAACGTTTCCACCTAGAAAAATATGATTTTAAAAGCCATGCCAAATTCATTGAAGAAATTGAAATATACAGAGAAGACAACCTTAGAAAAATTCTAGAGGAACATGAAAAATAAATTTTGCACATTATGGGCATAACCATAAATTTAACAGAAAGAATTAATATGTAACCACATAAATCAAGCCCTATCCACATTTCTCACCCACACAGGACAGACATGCTTGTGGAGGTGTTGAGGTCTCACACTTATACACAAACCCATACTAATATATACACTTATATGCATCATACACAGTCCCAAAGAACTAAAACACACACGTTCCCTTCCCAGTAACCAATGAAACTGTCAAAATGACCAAGAAGGGAATTCTGAATCTCATGAATCTCCCCAGCCTCCATCTTAAAAACAACTTAAAAGAAGCTGTTTGACCAATGCAAAGGACTGACCAAAATTAACAATAAAAAACAAATGAAAACTACCAATAAAGTTCATTTATATATATATATATATATATATTGACAACACAAAAACTGAGGGTTAAAATGAAAATCATTTTTTAAAGGAAAAATTCAATTTTCCTAACTTTATTAAAAATATTAAATTATTCTCAAAAAGAAAAAAGTATATTTTCATAAAGTGGTTATGTTTAAAACAAAAATTATTT